TTAAATACGAAAAATACTTGATTAAAACTGGCAAGAAGAGACCCGAAGGCATTGTCTACAAAATCTAAACTATATTTCTGTGACCCTTTTTGCTGGTCATGAGGCATTCCATCTTAGTCCTCACGGGTGACAACGCATCTGCATTTTGATTCGTAATCGAAGATAAATGTAGATGTCTATGGGCCGCAGCAACCACTTACCATCAGGTGGACTGTGTGCTCGTTTATCACCCTATCGTATAAAAAAATACTTCTGTGAAGATACTTTTAATGTAAGTATGATTTATATTTAACTATTGCTTAATACAGGGCAAAACATGATGAGGTGAAAGGTATCGCAAATCAAATATTGTTACATTAACTTAGATATTATAACTAATGATTGCTAATGATTGTAATTATAGATAAACTAAACTATGATTTATCAAAATAAACTCTGACCTGGTATTGTGTTTCTGTGTAATCAAAAGTTAGTAATAGGTACTTACAATGATGTTTTAACATTCCTCAACTCAGCAGAAAAAAACTTGCGATTGCATGCAATAAACTTTGCCACCATCAATTTATTTATCCTTGGTAGATTAGTACTTTCTGTTTTTACGAATTTGTATTCCCATGATGCATTTTCAATTAAATTCGGAATAAAAATCAATAATCGTAATTATAACTTAAAAATTTCAATATAACACAGCACGTTAGCTAGTTCTCTTAATCAGTGACATAGAAATAGAACACTAATTTCCTTAGGCTGGATCAATGACGTCACGACATGGCCTAATATGGCCGACAGCGTTTTGCAATTAGAGGAACAGTCGAAAAAAATATTCTTAATATGAAAATTCGAAATTTATAATACAATTTTATAAACAGAAATCAATATTTCTTGTTTACTTTTTACAAAATCTATCAATAATATATATTTTTTGATTTTATTTTACATGGTGTAAAATACCTATTCTTGCCAACTTTAATTTAGTGTAGTTTCCGCTAGGTAACGTTCCGCTAGGTTAAAAAAATTCTATTAATTATTTTTGATAAGAATTCAAAAGACCAATAAGTAGGTAATTCTAAATAAACAAAAACTAAACAAAATTAATTAAGGATTTTAATTCACGAGTAGAAGTCGAAGAAACTGAGAAAACTCGGGAATAATATTATCAGTTAGTTCGACTATAATTACAAATTTTGCATTTATTAATGTAGAATGAGAATTATATTCAAAACAGGTAGTTTTTTAATTTATTCACATCAACTTAATACCTTTACTATCACCGTTTTAGCTGTGTTAAGATAAGTGATTGTTGATTATTTGATATTTAAAGAGTTTTAAGTCAGTAAGGACATTTAAATAATATAACAAGCAGGAAGCCGAACACACGCATCAATGGCGAAAAATTTAATTTATTTTTTAATGTGAATCTTATTCAAGAATCGAGGCGGAACTCTTAAATAATGCTTATATCATACTATAACTTATAATTGATTACAAAGATATCATTATTTATAATGACATTGTAATATGATAAATAATTTTCATTATTTATTTTAAAAACAACATGTCAGAAACGAGAATAATTTATCGTTACAAAATGGAATAACCTTATGACTATTATTTACATTCGATTTGAACAGCAATGATAAATAGCTGATCCTGACTACACGTTTTAGAGAGGAAACATTAAAATAGTTATTAAGGCTATATAAATAAGAATCAAGATAGGAACAAGCATTCATAAGTAGAAACCGTCAATTTACGCATGTTTTATATTTATTAATTACATAGCAAGAAATGTTCTTCATGTTGTGAACAAAAAGCGTTGTTAATTACGATACCAAGGTGTATAACTTGGCATTTTGATCTTCGCGACTTACTTTTCCATTGTAATTTTTTAGATTGTCGGTCACATATTTGCACAAATTAACAGATTCCAAGGAATTAATACCTGTGGTTAAATGAAGTGACCATCGGCGTAAAGTGGCTGGCACAGTAGCTGATGCATGCTGCAAGCCAAGTGCGTACGTAAAGAATTACAAAAAAGTAAAATAAAAGTGACAATTTATTTTAATTTGAAGCTCGCCGTAAATTTCACACGTACAAACCGAGTTCGTTCACCGTCTACACTGATTATATCTTAAACTACAATTTTGAGTGCTGATTTTGCACGTGCTCGGCGGTGAAGTTAAAACACCTGCTTTTTAAGAAACTAAAAAAATAAATGTATTTTTAAGACTTGTGAAATCCGTCACACGCGTTGCAGCAACGCGGCTGAGTCTAGTTCCCAAAAAAAAAATCCCTCAGAGGAAAGGGAATGATATGAGGGCTGCATTTTCACATTATTACTCTTAAACAACATAAACACAACATATCTGTATATGTATGTGTAATATATATGGGGTACCCAGTAATACAGGTTACTAACCTAGTACAGGGGCCCTTGCGACCGGTTTAAAATGTAACATTGTAAATCAATAAATCATTTTTCATTTTCATTTTTCAATATAAACACTCACGCCTGTCACCCAGGGGGGTAGACAAAGACTACAGACGACCATTTTGCACGATCCTGACACACCTCTCTCGCCTCCTCGTTGGTTAAGGGTACTCCTAATTTACTCTTAAAAATTTATAAGGTACTCTTAAACATTTCGGCTATTTTATCAGACCATTATAATTATATATTTTTTTATATTATACATAGGCGTGATTCCGAAGGCGTATCGCGCCGAAATCCTAAATCGTGGCATAGTTTCTGGTAAACGGTGGACCGATCGTCGCTCCATCTGGTCTGGGTGCGTCCCACACTACGGTTGCCTAGCGGTCTCCCTAGTAAACCATATAATTCTTAGAAGCACTTAATCCATCCAGCATAAAAATGGACATTTTATAATATACTAGCGATTCGCACCGGCTTCGCACGGGTGAATTCTGGATCTCAACAACACCTACCGGATCCAACTGTGAATTTAAACCATCCGACTCAAACACACACAAAGAATTTCATCAGAATCGCTCGAACAACTTTCGAGTTTTAGCGGGACTAACGGACAGGAATTGATTTTTATATATAGAAATTTATAATACTAATAATAATAATAATGCCGTCCAGACCGAATTTCGGCCACGGCGGCCTGCCTCAACGGAGACTAGCCATCGGCGCAGGACAGGATTATAGTGCCCAAGTGTATGCGCAAGCACAGGTGCACTCTCTATTCCCTCACTCTCATAATCCGATGGGACGGTCAACTGATACAACCGGAGAGATATCAGGCGCAGCACAACGTCTTTACGTGTTTTTCGAGGCACGGGGGTGAGACACCGCCAACTTCCTGACTCTGGGCAACTACTGAGAGTTTCTTGACGCAAAAACTTAATAATTAAATTTTTGGCCCGACCCGGGATTCGAACCCAATACCTCATGATCAGCAGTCGCACTACTACAACCACTAGACCAACGAGGCAGACTTATAATATACATATCGTAACGTATGTACCTATAATTAATCATTGATATTAATGTTCAACATATAAAATAAAATGTCACGACAACTAACTACTTGAAAGACTATTAAAGCTAATGGGAGAGCAATTCCTACGTCTCCATTCTTCAGCTAAATAATTTATGAGTTCTTTTTAATTTATCAATTAACAGAGTTTGGTAGAGCGGCAACGTACAATGCCATAAATAAATTATGTTTTAAAGTCAACTTCGCTTCACAATGGCCGTGTAAATTAATCCAGGGCCGCAAAATGGCGATAACAATAATTCAATCTAAGATTATTTATTGCTTTCGCATTCAGACGCGGTTTAAAAACGTAGGCAAATATAACTGTGTATTATTTAATTACCCTTTCGTAATGACTTCTTGACCTTTGCGTTTTGTTCGGGTATCGCGAGAATAAAAAAGATTTAATTACTACTTATATGTAATAATTACACCTTGTCATTGAATATAAAATAAAAGGAAAACTGCAAGAAAGCTACAAATTATTTTTTATAAAAGATAATTATTATGCTTTTGTGCAAAATCATTTTAAATATATTAAAGCAAAATTTTATAAACAGTTAATAATTGACTTAAGTTAAGTTAACTTAGGTTTTCAATAGGACAACAAAAATAGATAAAGAAAACAAATCAAAAAGGATATTGCTTTTTCGGTAGACAACACCCATAGCCTCGGCTAAAAGTTCTAAGCTGCTAACTCCACTTTTGGCTAAATTGACTATTTGGTATCAAACGAAAGAGAAAAAAATTGCGCATAATCGTCAAATAGGTATGCTAACTACGCAAACTAAACCCAGGTTATAGATTTCGCGCCACAATCTTTTATGCTAACTCCACGCCTGTCAAATCACGCGGGAAATCATGTTCACTCCCTCCATTCGACGCCATCTTCTAGCAGTGTGAGCAGTACTATCAGTGTTTCCGAGAGTTTTATTCTAAAAATAAGGTTTTTTGAAGATTTCCACGTGACTGGTATTTTTTTGTAAAATATAAGTACTATTCTACAATTTGTTTATAGTTTTGATACTTACATATATCTAAGCAAAATTGATACAAAAGCACAAATGAAATGTAAACTTGTATGATAAGGGAGTTAGCATAATTTATTTCTTACTATTAAATATATTGTTTAGGAGTTGGATATTTTTATTTTTTACATAAGAGTTTTATAACTTTATTTTGGTATTTTAACGCTTTATTTGAAAATTAGTTTTTGGTTTTGTGACGATGTTCGACGGCACAATAGTTACGATAATGATATTTTAATTCATAGGTTTTGGGTTCAATTTTCAGATGGATAAATTATTTATGTGCTATGCTTGATGTGGTGGCTTATTATGCTTTTGTTTTATCCACAGATGGCTTCACATAGGGCTAGGAAGCTTATCAGTTTAGCTCTTAATACAGAACAACATCGCGAGGGAAATACCATTATTCACAATAATTTTGATGCTGATCAGAATAGTACACACGAATACATTAAACAATGTTATCAATATGATGGACTACCCTACTGAATATAGTTTAAATGTACCGTTGGTAGATTACATTGAACATTACTCGCTAGTAGAAAATGCACAGCTTGAAATAGTTGATGTTCCTGATTTTTTTACTACATTTGATGTACCTAGTGAAAATGCAAACATAATTAGTAATACACATTCTTTAAAAATTATAGATAATGTTAGGGTTTACGATTCATCGATGCTAGAAAATTTTAATGGTACTTATATAGAAAATTGCGATTTAATATCCAATTTTAGTGATAATTTTGGCGATCCTAAATTAGTTCCATACTCATCAAGTTCAGAAAACGATAGCGATATAGCGATAATTCCTTGCCTGAGAAGAGTAAATTCAGAAAAAGACGAGCTCAAGTAAATAAAAATACCTGGTTTGCAGAAAAAAAGAAAAAATTTCGCGAAAAAGGCTCTCAATATTATGGCGAAATTAAAAAAAAATCGAAATGGGTCTATGAAATTTTAAGAGAACCAAAGCGTTTAAAAGACATATGCAAATATAGCAGAAAAACAGGCATAATCAAGTATGGCATTATAAAAGATGAAGAAAGAATAAAATATATTTTGGATGGGGAGAGAAGAAAATATTTGTTAATGATACTGTTCAGTCAGTTCCAACAAAACGTCATAGGGATCGAAAACTGTCTGATAATTCTCGAAGAGCTCAGTCATTCAAGTATAATTTAAAAACAGCTGATGGTGGTTATGTAAGAGTTTGCAAAAATATGTATTTAAATACTTCGGGCATTGGAAGAATGACTGTTATTGCTAGGAAAGATAATACTTGCCTTCCCAGTCAACTTAGAGTCAATAAAGATAGAGTTAAGCCTTTTGTAAACGGGAAAAAATCAGTGGCTGATTTTTTTGACTCTCTACCAACAATGGAATCTCATTACTGTCGGGCTTCATCTTCCAAAAATATCTGCAAACTGATTGGAAAACAAAAATGGATTTATATAAGTTTTACGTATTGACTGGTGCAAATCGCACCCCATACAACCACTATTTAAAACTACTGTTTAGACCCAAAAAGGACAAATGTGAAATATGTGCAAGATATAAGACTGGAACAATGGAAGAACATGATTACCAATTACATGCATTGAAAAAAGAAGAAGCTAGGAAAGAAAAACAAACAGATAAAGCGAATAATAGTCTTGTATTTATAGTAGATCTTCAAGCAGTTTTAATGGCACCTAAGTCAAATGTCAGCACATTATACTACAAAATAAAGCTTCAAGTGCATAATCTGTGCTTTTATAATAATATCAGCAAAGATGGCTATTGTTTTGTATGGAACGAAACGGATGGGGGGCTTAATGCAGATGAGTTTGCTTCTATTTGGACATATTTTATTGCGAAAAAGATGATACCTAAAGTGGAAAACAAAACAGATATACGTATTATTGTTTATTCGGATGCCTGTGGTTATCAAAATTGCAAAGTGACTATGTCAAATGCGCTGTTACATATGGCGGTTAAAAATAAAATAACTATCGAGCAGAAATATATAGAAGTCGACCATATGGAAATATGGAATATACAAAAATGAAGTGGATGGTATGCATTCTTTAATAGAACGGAGAATGCGTAATAGAATCATAAATGTTCCTGCAGACTATGTTCAAATTATTGAGTCTGTGCGCAATAATCCATTTGATGTCAAGTATTTGGAACATACTTTTTTCAAAGATATCCGTAATATTTCAAGCTACAAAAACATTTGCTCTGGACGATCATCGGGAGACCCTAAAGTCACCGATATTCGCGCACTCATGTATTCTCCATCAGGAGAAATTCCATATAAGTTGCGGTTTGAAGAGCCATGGATGCTGCTGCCCCAAAGAAAAAGCCCTTTTTCAGCAAAAAGTTCTGAGGATATGCAAAATTTGCACCAAACTAGACTGAAAATTAAAGCTCTAAAATATGATGACCTTCAACAAATTAAAGAAGTCTTGCCAGCAGATTTCAGAGAATTTTACAACAATTTACCGCATGATTAAAGGTCGATATTGTTTGAGTTAATAATGTTCAATTTATTTTTGTGAATTTGTTTCGATATTGAATTACATATTTTTTACTTGGTTTTCAATAAGAATACTTTACGATATTTTATATTTACGTGAACACTACACATTGATTAAAACTACTTTTACGGATTTTATAGCGTTTAATTTACTTAATTTTAAAAATCAAGTAAATTAAACGCGATAAAATCCGTAAAAGTAGTTTTAATCAAATAATACTTTAGTTATTAAAATCTGATAACTCCCAAACTAATCGCCATAAAAAATATTTACAATTGTAAAATATACTAACTCCAATTTAAGGCCTCAAAGTGTAATTAAATTGAAATAAATGCAAAAATGTTGATATAATAATAAAAAACAAATAAAATTTTACCAAACTAGACTTTGTTTATTGCACTTATTCGAGTATTTTATTTTTAAATCAGTTTTTTATTTTTTCTCGAAAGCAGTATGGTTGGGAGTTAGCAATTTAGCACATTTAGTCAATGATAGGTAATTCATAAAGAAACACAGAGACTCTATCTATTTATTTATGATTTATGATCTATTTATTTAACTATTTGTGTACAAACCACAGATCCAACAAGAATATCCACTAACACATATCATGGGTGTCGTAAGAGGCATGGGAGGGAAATTAAAACAAAAACTGGGTAACATCATGTTTCTGATAACAATTCAAAATAATTAAAAGACTGCGGTTGCCAACCCATCTAGCAACGTGACAACTATGGCAAAATTTTATAAGACAATCTGTTGGAGAGGCCTATGTTCAACAATAGACTTTTAGAGGCTGTAGTGAAAGAATGAATATGTACACCTTCAATATAAAGGACACATTTTAATGACAAAGATTTTGTACAAGGGTAGTGCCCTTATATATTCCATAATGAAACATCTTTTAGCATGCCAGTAAAAAAGAAGGTGTGTAATTTTTTATTATAAAACACATAGGTAATGATATTCAAAAATAAATATTACTTACCTATAAATAAGCTTGAATGTGTTGCAACGTCTATTTTGCCCGAAGCGAATTTAGCCCATCTATAAATTCAAGCATATTAATTAATCTATGACACAATAATTCACCGAGCTCTGTAGTGCTGCAACACCTGCACGCGGCATCCGTGGCTGATTTATCGGCCCGTTTGTCTCCCTTCTACCGACACACCCACTTTGGGCCCGATGGTCCAATTTAGTTTTTAAAGTAATAAGAATGCTTCTTTAACAGATTCACAGTTTTGTATTTGTTTGTTGTGTTTTTAGGGTAATTTACATACAATACACACAATCAATAATTTTCGTTTTATTTTGAAATTATAATTTAAATATTATTTTGATATTCAGCATCACGAAGTTATTAAAACTACATGATTAAAATTATAATTATATAGATATAATATTTAATGTTAAGCAAAGCACAGTACATTTTCCGATCCTCAGGCGCAATACCATAAAATGTTTAATACCACTGCAAATTGGCATACATACAGCCTTTCTAACACCAACGTTAAACTTTATTTCCATTCGTTTAAATTCAAAATTGAACAGCGCATACAATATACATTCATCAGTAAATACATCTCCAGAGGCACATAATTCTCGGTCGCGTGCGGCGGTGTATTATTTTTAAATTATTAACAGTGTAATGGAATTACTCTCGTATGCTAATGCTGCAACGAATGCTCTTTTATCACGGCATAATCGTCGATAGTATATGACCGTTTAAATGCTATTTAATGCAAAGAAATAAATTAAATTCTAACACTCATGCTGTTTTCTGCCACTTTCTGCCTCCCAATCAAGCCAGTTTCTGAAAAGGCTTTAGTTTTGACAACGTATATACTTTACGACAAATTGCAAAGAAGACCGAAAATTACAATCTGCTATTTTGTCTTGCGTATAATAAAAATATAATGTCGATACTATGAGAACGCCTTTGAATCTGTCGAAATTTGGCCGCTAATATTGGTATTCCTTTAGCAGTATCTACCACATTGACTGTCGGTATGTTAAAGTGCTGAAGTTTTTTACAGTAGCAATTACATGCAGACAGTAGATTGATGCAGGTGGCTCAGGGCTGTGTTTTGAGTCATTACTTGGGGTTACCGGTGGACCTGTGAAGTTCTGTAATGATAATTAATACGAGTATGAATTTCTTCAATATAGATGACAAGTAATTTTTTGAAAGTAATTTTATTAACACACCTAAAAACTGCGTACCCTCTACAAATGGCTTAGTCTTCAAACGAGAAAAGAACCAGACTTCTTGCCACCTGCGGCGACGACCGGTCGTGTATACAGTTTCATTAGAAACTTCACCGCATTTAGTCATCTCTTAAGCTCATATTAGCGTTATTTTTTAGTTCATCCGCCAGTGATACCAAAGTCACCGTACCGGCTCTGTATAAAGTGCTCCTTAGATAAAAGTTCGCCAAAGTATATATGCAAGTAGCATGCCACACAGGAGTGTTTACCTTCCATCCATAAGACCGAAGTAATTCTGTTGCGTTTCGTGCCTTTTTTTTCCTCCACAAGGCCCTAAAATTAAGAGAACATTTATTCAATTATAACAAAAGCAAATGTATAGCTTATATATTAGATAATGTCGTTAATCTCGTATTCTATGTATGTTTTACTATATCGTATTCTAGCATGGACATGAACTGTCGTCGAAGTTAGACCGAGAAAAAAAGTACGAAAGAGAAGGAAAAATAATCCCGCAGAAGAAGGGCCCACGTGACTTGTTTTGGTTATAATTCAAGAGATTTCCTGTTTAAGCTCTTATCTGAGAAGTCCTGAAGCCTACATAGATTACAAATAAAACATCCTTATCTACGTTTTTTGTCCATTTCAAAACATTTTGATTCAATGAATATTTTAAACTGAATTTTTTTGTCTTACGGAGCTGTGTAATTATTTCAACTCGTATAATCATTTATCACATTTGAACAATGGTTTTTAATGTCTGTTATTAAAATATAATTATCTTTTACAACCGGTATGATGATTATAGCTTCCCTTACCTAATTGGCAAATATATTTTATTGCTTTGGAAGTCGTACAGATTACGTTGAGGTCAAATTGAAAACATAAGAGGTAATTTATTAATATTATCTCTATATATAAAAAACAATTGCTTTCCATTAGTCTCGCAAAAACTCGGAAACGGCTAAAATAATTTTGATGAACATTTATGTATATGCGTGTGAGTGGGTAATTGATTGATTTCGAATGGGGAATTTCATTGTGCTCGTTTTCGAGATCCAGATCCCTGGGTGGAACGCTACTTTCAAATAAAATCTGACATTTGTTTTTCATTGTACTGGAG